CAGGAGGCTGAGGCAGGAGAATTGCCTGAACCCAGGAGGCGGAGGTTGCGGTGAGCCGAGATTGCGCCATTGCACTCCAGCCTGGGGAACAAGAGCGAAACCCCGTCTAAAAAAAAAAAAAAAAAAAAAAAAAGATTCATATATTTTATCATGTTAAGAAATTTATTTATTTCTTCATTTTTAGAGAATGGGTCTCGCTCCATCACCCAGGCTGGAGTGCAGCGGCGCAATCATAGCTCACTGCAGCCTTGAATTCCTGGGCTCAAGCCATCCTCCCACCTTAGTCTCCCATGCAGCTAGGACTAGAGGCACACACCACGACTGGGTAATCTATGTTTTGTAGAGGCAGAGTCTTGTTATGTTGTGCAGGTCGGTATCGAACTCCCAACCTCAATTGATCCTCTCACCTTGGCCTCCCCGAGTACTGATATTATAGGCATAAGCCACCACACACAGCCCCATCTGTTTATTAAGGAATCTGATCAAGAACCAGTGTGGAATCTTATCAAATGCCTTTAGCATGTACAGAGATGATGATCTAGTAATATGGTGACTTATAATGAACCAGTCTTCCATTCTGCAAACAAACTCCACTTGGTCAAATGTATTACTCTTTTAATCCATTGCTGAATTCTCTTAATATTTTGTTATTCTTTTGAGATCAATAAATATAACTGACCAACAGTTTTCTTTTTCTTGATAACTCACAGGGCTTTAGTTATCAATGTTATGCTGGCTTCATAAAATTAATCTGGAAGCTTTTTTACTTTTTCTATGTTCTGGAACACTTAAAATAGTATTAGCGTTACCATTCCTTAAAGGAGGCTTAACAGAATTACCCTATGAATCCAGTGGGGCCCAGTACTATTGTTATTTGTGCAGGTGGGGTGGAAACGACTTCAGTAACTTTCTGTATTTCTTTTTTGCTCTGTTTAGATTTTCTCTCTTCAGGGGTCAGTTTGGGTAATTTTTTTTCTAGAATGTCATCCATTTCATAGATTCTCACATTTGCTTCTTTTGTCTGTGGTTATTTCCCTTTATCCTCTACCAAAGAAATAACTCTGCAATTTATTAGTTTTACAGTCTCTTCAAATTTAAGAGCTAGTGCAATTGTTTACAAACTGTATTCTGCCACTTGAGCTGAGAAAAAGGCCAGGCTTTTCTCAGTCTGAGCTTCTCTGAGCTTCACTATTCTATTCTCTTTGACAGACCAGATCCACTTTTTTCTTTTTTTTCTTTGAGATGGAATCTCACTCTATCGCCCAGGCTGGAGTGCAGTGGTGCGATCTTGGCTCACTGAAACCTCTGCCAGCAATTCTCCTGTCTCAGCCTCCTGAGTAGCTGGGATTACAGGCGCCTGCCACCGTGCCCAACTAATTTTTAGTAGAGACGGGTTTCACCATCTTTGCCTTGGCAAGCCTGATCTTGAACTTCTGACCTCGTGTGTGATCCACCAGCCTTGGCATTCCAAAGTGCTGGGATTATAGACGTGAGCCATCGCACCCAGCCCAGATACACTTTTTTCTATATTATACGTGAAAATTTCATTTAAGATTTCATTTGAAAGAAAAGAGCATCACTGATAAAAAACAATACAGATGCATGAAAATCAATTAATTCTTGTTTTTATACTTTTTTTTTTTTTTTTTTAAATATAGAGACGGGGTTTTACCATGTTGGCGAGGATGGTCTCAATCTCTTGACCATGTGATCCGCCTGCCTCAGCGTCCCAAAGTGCTGGGATTACAGGCATGAGCCACCACGCCCTTTCTTAAAATTTTGATTCACAGACTTCTACTAGAAGAATATATAATCTTCAAAAAGGCTTAGAATTAACTGTAGACTTGAGTTCTTTCACTTCTACTTATTATAAGCAAGGAACAGAAGCATGTCTCAATTAGTAATACTGATTTATTGTTTATATACCACGTATGACCTATATTTGGAAACAACTTAAGAGTAATTCATCAACAAAGTACATGGCTTTAAGTGATAGCTATGGAGCACAAAGGCAGTTGATTTTAAAAGACCAAAAATTTCACGACTTACCCCAAGTAAATGAATGAAAAAAAGAACAGCAGCAATAGAGATGATATAATAAGCCAGGCATGGATAACCTAGAAAAGAAAGCATTTCAATATAATTAAATAACAGGTCCCACAACACTTTTTGGTTTGTTTTTGAGATGGAGACTCATTCTGTCGCCCAGGCTGGAGTGCAGTGGTGCAATCTCAGCTCACTGCAATCTCTGGCCTCCTGGGTTCAAGTGATTCTCCTGCCTCAGCCTCCCGAGTAGCTGGGACTACAGGCACACACCATCATGCCCAGCTAATTTTTTGTATTTTTAGTAGAGATGGGGTCTTGCCATGTTGCCCAGGCTAGTCTTGAACTGCTGAACTCAAGTGATCCACCAGCCTCAGGTTCCCCAGGTGCTGAGATGACAGACATGCACCACCATGTCGGGACCGCATCTCTCTTTAAAACAACTTCATAAATAGTACAATTTGGGAAAGACCAACAGAATGGCTTAAGACATTGGTACTCCTTGGATGTTCGAATATTCTAAATTAAGTTGACTATCCAAATACAATGTAGTTGTTTTTGGTATGCTTCCACAAAAATTTTCCAGCATTTTATTACAAAAATTTTCAAACACACAGCAAAATTTAGTAGTTTTTTTTACAATGTACACCCATATATCACCTAGAGTGTACCATTCATATTTTGCAGTACTTGGTTTATAAAATTTCTGTCTAGCTTCTTATCTATCAGTCTTTGTTCTTATTAATATATATCAAAGTAAACTGAAAGGCCAGGTGCGGTGGCTCACGCCTGTAATCCCAGCACTTTGGGAGGCCAACGTAGGTGGATCACAAGGTCAGGAGATCAAGACCATCCTGGCCAACATGGTGAAACCTGGTCTCTACTAAAATACAAAAATCAGCTGGGTGTGGTGGCGCCCAAATATGTTAATTTGTTATTTTCATATGCATTTATTTTATTACTGTAAAGAAAATATACACACACATTTAAACAGGCCTTTCTCATCTTGCAAAAATCCCTAGTTCAGCTTTCCTGTGCTAAAGGATGTGAAAGAAAAGAGCCCTGCTTTAGTACACAACAGTATCTTCTCTAAATCCTCAAGTGCCAAGGCCTGAAATCATCTGACTTTAGCAAGTTATAGTTCCTTTTATAATAACTTATGTATTAATAATTAACTGTCTTTTCTGTTTCTAACATTTTAAGGTTTGGTCTTTTAGTTTCTAGGGCTTGTCACGGACATTGCATAACCAACCACTGATACGGGAAATCCTCAGGCAAGTTACTGAATCTCTGACTCAAAAGCTCCTTTACTTATACTGGGAGTCAAGCATAAACAACTTTTTTCTATAGAATTGTTTGTGCATGCTAAGATTTGAACATTTAAAAAACATCACAACACAAATAAACATGGAAATGTGGAAATCTGGCTGAATACAAATCTCTTAGACTGTCTAAAATGAAGGAAGGGGCCGGACGTGATGGCTCAGGCCTGTAGTCCCAGCACTTTAGGAGGCCGAAGGCAGTGGATGACCTGAGGTCAGAAGTTCGAGACCAGCCTGGGCAACGTGGCAAAACTCCGTTTCTACTAAAAATGCAAAAATTAGCCAGGCATGGTGGCGCGTCCCTGTAATCCCAGATACTTGGGAAGCTGAAGCAGGAGAATCACTTGAACCCAGAAGGCGGAGGTTACAGCGAGCCAAGATCGTGCCACTGCACTCTAGCACTCCAGCCTGGGTGACAGACAGAGACTTTATCTCAAAAAATAATAATAATAAAATGAAGGATGGCTAAAACACGGGCAAAACTGACAAAAATATATTAAGAAAGGTTCCAGATAAGATGAATAAGCACATTCCACTCTCTGTCCCACTGAACACAGTTACAAAACCTGGGCAGAAAGCAGACAGTAGCTGGTTGCAAGCAATGGAAAGTAAAGAGAAGTAGGTGGGCTGGGGAATTAGAAGTACTAGCAGTTAGCAGACCATTTTTTCCCTCCACCTGTATTCCACACAACCTATGTGGGTATTAGCAAGACAATGGGAGCTCCACAAAACCTCCAGTTCTGGCTTGAGGATTTGGAAAGAGGTCTCCTAACACCCAGAGCGTGTAAAAATCCAGTTTTTCTTCTTTTCTCCATTCTCTTATGCCACGTCTTCACACAATCTTGTGGTGATGGGTGGCAATGTGGGTAGCAGAAGTCTAAAGTTCAGAGGGAGGGAATCCTTCCTCTCTGGAAGGATGTCAGTCCTGAAAGAGTGAGGCAAAGAGCCCTTGCTTTCTCTCTCTCCTCCCACATTTTGGGCCTGACTTTAGGAAAATAAAGTCCACTTTCTGGCTGGAAGAATGAAAAAGGGAAGCCAAAGAAACCACAGGGAGATCACAGAATGAGAGAAACTCAAGAAAGCAATCTCTTAAAGCTGTTTACAAACTTGTGGGTCCATTCCCCAGGTGAGCAAGTATGTACATGATCCTCAACAGTACACACTGACCCTGATGATCAAATTACAAATAGAACACCACTATACCAGTCTCAGACTCGTGACTGGGTGGCATTTACATGGGGCAGATCTGAGCAACACTGCAAAGGCTTTGAAAAATGAACTGATGGCCGGGCGCGGTGGCTCGAGCCTGTAATTCCAGCACTTTGGGAGGCCGAGGCGGGTGGATCACGAGGTCAAGAGATCGAGACCATCCTGGTCAACATGGTGAAACCCTGTCTCTACTAAAAATACAAAAAATTAGCTGGGCATGGTG